GTCTATATTTCTGAGATGAGGTATTATGTACATTATTTACATTATTCGGACTATTGTCCTCATATTTGTCGCCATATTTATTACAACGTTTCGGCCTTTCAGTATATGTCTCTATTTCTGAGATGAGGTATTATGTACACTATTTACATTATTCGGACTATTGTCCTCATCTTTGTCGCCATATTTTTTATTACAAGAAAACGAAACTAAATAAAAAAATTAAACGAAATTTTGAAAGACTAAAAATAAAACGGTTCGTCTGGAATGAAAGAAATTAACTTCCAAGCGTCGATTAAGTAGAACTCGAAAATTACTAATGAAACTTTCAACAAAAGAACATCAGATATAATCAGATGAAAGTCAAAACAACGAAAAAAAGACACACAGACACACAGAGACACACAGACAAACAGAAACACAAAATAAAGCTTTTTAAATAATAAAAACAAAAAAGAATAAATAAATTTAAAATTTTAATTTAAGAAATAAATAAAAACCACAATTAGAAGTCGTAAAACAATTAGGTGAAAACAAACAAAAGTAAAAAAAAACATGTAAATAATCAATATATATATATATATATATGTGTGTGTGTGTGTGTGTGTGTGTGTGTGTGTGTGTGTGTGTGTGTGTATTTAGGCAGCAAATTATCTTTTACGCATGCCGGATTAAATAAATTACAGACATTATGTCTGCTTATTTTTAATAAAAAAACGTTCACTATTTACATTATTCGGACTATTGTCCTCATCTTTGTCGCCATATTTATTAGATCGTTCCGGCCGTTGTACGCTCCGGCCTTCTTCAGGTGGTTGGAATGTCGAACTGAACGCTTATTTGGCTCACTGGAGTAGACTGTTCTAGTTCCACGTTCCATGTTTTAATGGATGTCAGTTCTTAGCACGCACACTGTGCCATTTCTCCTCAAGTATACATGACACAGTGGATAAAGGCATTAGTTTGATCCACTGACAGGACCCAAAGAGTTTGATTTCAATATCCGGTTAAGAGGGGCAGTTGAGAACTGATATCCATTAAACATGGCACGTGGAACTAGAATTATACCCAAGGAGTGAAATAAAGGGTTCAGTTCGACATTCCAACCACCTGAAGATATCCTGAAACGTTGTAATAAAATGGCGACAAAGATGAGGACAAGTCAGAATAATGGTACATAATACCTCATCTCAGAAATATAGACAGAACTGAAAGGCCGAAACGTTGTAATAAATATGTCGACAAAGATGAGGACCATAGTCCGAATAATGTAATAGTGTACATAATACCATATCTGAGAAATATAGACATATACTGAAAGGCCAAAACGTTGTAATATATATGGCGACAAAAATGGCGACAATAGTCCGAATAATGTAAAGTACATAATACCTCATATCAGAAATAGAGACAGATACTGAAAGGCCGAAACGTTGTAATAAATATGGCGACAAAGATGAGGACAATAGTCCGAATAATGTAAATAGTGTACATAATACCTCATCTCAAAAATAGAGACAGATACTGAAACTGAAAGGTATATGACAAAGATGAGGACAATAATCTGAATAATGTCAATAAATATGGAGATCTCAAAATGACAGGACTGAGAGTCGTTGTAATAAATAATGTGAGGAAATAGTGTAAATAATACCTCATCTCAGAAATATAGACAGATACTGAAAGGGCCGAAACGTTGTAATAAATATGGCGACAAAGATGAGGACAGCAGTCTGAATAATGTAATAGTGTGCATAATACCTCATCTTAGAAATATGGACAGATTTATTTGCGTGTTTGCTCAAATGGAATAAGGAACAAAGCCGTTTTTAAATCGGGAATCCCACGCGTACATTGGACTAATAACGTAAATTGATCTATCTCTCAACCCCACCCTCTCACTCTCCTCTCTCTGCACTTTCTTTTGGGATACAAGGGGCACCGAAGATTGACCACTCTTAGAGTCATGTGTAAGATACTGTCTGGCGGGAAGAACCCCCCACCCCAACCCCGTAGATGATAATATTGTTTCTGAATATGAAACCCCGACTACGAAAAGTTCATTGAATAAATACCTCTTCTCACATTAAATGCATTGGTTTTCGGACACCGATGACACATTAAAGCACTTCGCCACGGATTCGAAGTTAACAACATAATGTTGTTGTGCGTTGCTACGTTAGGGAGGTCGATCCTCACAGGGGCATCACCCACGTGAGACCTTAAACCAGAATAAATAATCAAGGCTAAATCGGCTTGATAAAATGTTTCATCAGCTCCTGTTTGGTCCTCACAAAGTACGGCAGATATGAGGACGTCCTGGAACAAATAAACAAGGATACATCTCGCTTGGCAAGCAGTTAGTCAGCAAGTTTTGAATTTGAAATCCACGGAATACGCTATATTTGTGTCGTTGTGCCAAATTATGTCAATAAGAAACTGTTGCCTTGGAGTAAGCAGTTAGCAACATAGTGTCAATGAATTTGTTCCCCGTTGATGAATCCATATTTGAAGCCTTGTGCCAGACTCAGTAAATCGCCTTGTGCCAGACTCAGTAAATCGCCTCGAAGCCGCAGTTAAGATAGTGTCGTAGTGAATTTATTCACCCCTGGGTACTCCACATTTGAAGCCTTGTACCAAAATAACGCATTGCCTTGGAGCAACTTACTTTGTAACCCTCTACTGTTAGTGGCTTTTGGGACTTGTACCGGGTGAGCATTATTGTAATATATATATATATATATATATATATATATATATATATATATATATATATATATAAAATATATAGAAAATAGGAAGGAACTGGTTAGGTAAGTAATCCAAAGTCCCTTAGTATTTTAGTTATTATTTTAAAAAAAAATAGTGCTCGATATAAAAGTAGAGCATAAAATATAATTATTTATTTAAAAAATGATTCCAAAATAAAAATATCCATAAGAGGTCTGAGTTTCAAAACAAAATTGAAAACTTCAAAATATAATCCATTTCAAATGAAATTTTGTTGGGCTTGAAGATGGAACGGAGCCCATTTTAATTTAAACTCAATTTAATTTAAAGGATTATATTGAAGATTCGGCTCTTGTTTTGAAACATGAGACCTCTTATGTAAGGATTTGGAATCATATTTTAAATAAATAATTATATATATATATATATATATATATATATATATATATATATATAGATAGATAGATAGATAGATAGATAGATAGATAGATAGATATCAAATACGTAAGTGGAAAGCATAATCCAAGTAGGTTTCTTCATATAAAATATTAAACAGTTGGCTCCATAAAGAGAGCTCAATGTATAATATACAGAGCAATATGTTATTTTAATTTGTAATTTCAGTCTGATGAGTCAGGTGTTAGAACCTTCCCCGTTGAAAAACAATTATAATTCATAACCGTATTTTCGATGATGCGGTAAGTTTTTCCGGTATATATATATATATATATAGTTAGGAACCGACTGATGTAGATAGATAATGAACATAGGTAGATAGATAATGAACATAGAAAATGAACATGATAGATAGATAGATAGATAATGAACATGGGTAGATAGATAGATAGTAAACATAGATAATGAACATAGATAGATAGATAGATAGATAGATAGATAGTGAACATTGAAGTCAACTCTCGTAGGCACAGATTGTTTCATGGTGGACGCAATCGTCAGGCAGCCTGACGATTGCGTCCACCATGAAACACCTTGTCGCTTCCGAGTTTTGACTTCATGTTTACTTTTATAGTTATATTTACATACACTCTATCTATGATATTGAGCACTTTATCCCATAAATATAACACACCTTAAAACTATATTTCTTCATATATATATATATATATATATATATATATATATATACATATATGTGAAAGTAACAAGGAAAGCACCTGTCAATCGCTTTTACCAAAACTTGTACATTTTTTCTACTTTCTGAGTTTACGTATTTATTTTAATTGTAATTTTTTTACTTTCTTAAGTTTACATTAATCGTATATATATATATATATATATATATATATATATATATATATATATATATATATATATTTATTTTTCATATATATATATATCATTATATTTCTTCATATATATATATCATTATATTTTTTCATATATATATATATATATATATATATGTATATATATAATTATATTTCTTCATATATATATATATATCATTACATTTCTTTATATATATATATATATATATATATATTTTTCTATATATATATATATATTATATTTCTTCATATATATATATATATTATTTTCTTCTATATATATATATATATATATATATATATATATATATATATCATTTAGAATGCTATAAGTGAAAAACTACAATAAAATCGTTGTTGTTGAGTAAATGTTGACACTGCACTCTTTACAGCTCACAAGGAGTGTGTTTATCAGCCCTGAACGACGAAAATAAAGGCCTATCGAAAGACGGAATAACTGAGTCAATGCTCAGTTAACTAGGGTTAATGTCTCAACACATTCACCATGGAGAAGGCAACGGGAAACCACTGAATTATCAGTTCCACGAAAATTCATGACAATATATAAATGTGTTCTATTACTAGCATTATATATTTGGGCGAAGCATTTTTTTTTTATAGATATATTTTAAGTTTGAATTAGATTGATCGTATGTATTACCTTCAGGAGATAAATATAAATGCGTGATACAAAATTGTCACAGGAGTAACAGAATCTTGACTTGCTGTAAAGTATGAAATATGACCCAGACATATTCAATCAGATTAATGTCAGAGGGCTGACGTGGTGAAACAAAAAAAAAAAAAACGAAAAGGGATTGATTAATGATTTTTCGAGCAGCTCCACTTGTTTGTAAATCTGATAATTTCTGACGCAAAGGGTACGAAATAGTGTCAAGTAATTCTGGACTTTGTTTCTATACAGTTTGTTGTTTGTTTCATAACTTAAGGAATTGTCAGTGTTCGAGGTTTAATAGATGTCAT